AGGAAAAGAAAAACAATAGTGTTCTAGGAAAAAATAAAAATAAATCCGGGAGAGTAGTCAAATTCTAAAACCAGAAAGGTAGCAAACGAGGTTAAATGTCGTGAAGGAGCAAAGAGTCTCTTTCCCATACCTAATAAATAAACAAGGGCATAGCCTGTAGTAAAAACATCTCTTTTTACCAGACGAGAGATCTGTCTGACCGGTGGTATACACGGTAGGATTAGAAACAAATATTTTTCTCTCTTTGCGTCAAATGGGTGTCAAGAATTTTTAACTTTTCACTTTTAATAAAAAACTTTCTCATCACACTCTCCTAGATTTGGTAACATATATACAAAGAGCAAAAGTCCCCATCTCACATGGTGCAAGTAGTTGTTATATCTACTTTGCTTTTGGTGCTTAGTTCCTTTCATGTGCTCTTTTTCATTTAAATAATCTCTTTTTGGATGCTTCTTCTTTAGCCATGCTCATTAATTTATGGTTCTCTGAAATAGTTTTTGGATTTTATCCTATGCGTGTTGCCCTAACACATCTATTGAAAAGATTGTTTGTTTCATGTTTCATGTTTCATGCCCATATGTTAAATTATTTTCCACCTTAAAAAATCAACTGATGAATCTTCTTTATACCTAAAGAAACAATGTCTAGGCATCTTTCTTTGAAAGTTTGTTTCTGATATTGTTCATAGCTCAACCATTATTTTTGGGTCCAAGTATGGCTCATGAATCAATCAAACATCATTTACCTTGATAAAATGTCATGGGTTTTCATTGATTTTGGATTTCTTGACATGCTAGTGCATGTGCATGTCCTCTTGCTAGGGTACGTTGATTTAATATGTAGAATAATAGGTTGCATGTTAATAGCAATGCTAAGAAATGGGTGGCATTTGTCTTAATGATATTTGCCTCTTTATCAAGCAAATGAGATCTACTTTGATTAATTCAGCGTAAAGAAGATAGAACTTTCATCTTGAAGCTAACTCGTTTTATTTGCTGTGGTGATCTTTGAATGCGTAGTGAAACATTAAAGAATGTTTAGTGTATGTCGATTGTTGAAGAAGAGAGAATTAAAACTTTTAGTAAACATAATAGATCTAGCTAGGACTAAGAGTGAATGAATACTATTTTTAGCAAATGAAAATTTATTCACGAATGCACATGTAATTTTAGTCGGCATTCAATAAAATGTCCAATAGAACCAAAAGAAAAAAAAAGTTTTCGAATAAAATAAGCAAGCATCTTCTCATACATAAATCAAATTAAATTCTTTAAGACCAATATGGAACATTGGTCTTGATGCCCACAAGGAAGATTTTTTTTTTCTTAAAGAATTTAATTATATATATATATATATATATTACACACCAATATGAAACATTGGTCTTAAAGAGATTAGAGCACAAAGTTAGGCTCTGAGAAAAAAGATCTCAATAGTATTACTGAAAAAAATATCGACAAGATTTGGAGAGGATGGTATCAAATTTACAATGATATGTTACTAGATGAACCATTATTAGTTAGAAAGTCAGCTCTACTTTGCTTTTTTTTCAAAATATGATCAAATGAGACTTTTTACTAATGTTGACAAAGACATTGTATTAAGTTAAGTTTAACATTGATGGCAACTACTTTGCTTCTTTTAATCATGCTGGAATGGATATTGATCTACACTGAAATTCTCATGAAGTCTGGATTGTAGGTTTCTTAGGTTTTTTGGATCATTCGTCTATTATACTTGCATAGAGGAAGGCTGTTCGATAAGGTTTAATCATTGTTTGAAACATAGATTGCAAGAAAGTGGAGATGAAAACTAATTCTCGAGAAACAACCCATGCTATTGGAGATGTTAGAGATGTTGTTTCATCTTCTCACCCATATTATAATAGTATTTGACATAGAAGGATTGTTATAACACGTATTTGTTTATCCTAAAACTTAAAATATCTCAACAATTAGGTTAATCGTATATAGAAACAACTCTTTAAAAGACTAATATATAAAACTCAATGATTTGCCCTGTTTATTATATGAATCCAACTTCATAAGTTGTGGCTTTAATTCATGGCAAAAAGTGTCTATAGACATATTTGTAATTTTGACATAATATTTAAAACATATTTTCATATTGATATATTAATAGATCACAATAGCTCTTGCCTATATTTGATATCCGAACCCACTGAATAAAGTTTAACTCTTGTTTTATAGTTATTGTATGCAGTAATTTTGCTTTTTAATGAAATTATTAATTAGTTTGTGATTAATTTTTAAATGTCATCCATATTTGTTACCTGCCAATTTTTTGAGGATAAAAAGGATCCATATCCAAAAGAAAAAAAGAAAAAGAAAAGTATTTACATCCAGTACTTTTGTTCCTAATAATTGAGTAAAAAAAGAAGTTAATAGCCTTAAAAACTTTTGCCCTAGTCAAAAAGCAAAATCATTTCCGAAAAAAAGAAATGCAACTCCATTTTTTTATAAACTGTTAGGAAAATATGTAGTTTCTAGTCAATTTAAACCCTATAGCAATCACAACTTAGTCAATTTCACTCCCTTGGTTAATCCATTACATTAAATAAAACTTGGTACTCTAATTATGTTGTCTGTTGTTCGTATGAACACAAATCTTTCATAACCAAGCACTTGGCAGATTTGTCACTTTAAGGCCGGAGGGCGCCATCAAGCTGACCTGTTCAAAATGCTTGCCAGTTTGCTCCATTTTTTAAGTTGCTACACCCCCAAAATCTTTGGAACAACAAGAATAGGACGGCCTGCAACAACAACAACGACAGAATTGAATAAAAGAATATTTGTGAGATTTAGTGCTATCCTATTGATCTTGCACTTGACTAATTTCATTGACTTTATGTTGCTAAATTCATGAAGCAGATGCATTGCCCCAATTTCATTGCCATTTGGCACCACCGATTGTTTGCTTGTTGATTTTTTTTTTTTTTTAGGGCTAGCTCTTGTGTTGAAACCAAGTTCTAATTAGACTTTTCTTTCTTTCTCTTTGTTTTACTTCTCTAAGAAAGAAAGCACGTTTGTGCTTTTTATTAGTTTAGGGACAGAATTCTAATTTGTTTTTTAGATTTAATGAGAAACCAGTTTTTTTTACATTATAAAAATAGAGATTTTTAATGCACTATGTTGAAAAAAGTTAAAGGAAAAAGTTTGAATAGAATTATATGCCAAGTCAAAAGTCATATAATTAATTAAGAGGATTTATTTTTCTTTTTATTTTGTTAGTGCTCTTCTAAGAAATGTCACAGATGCAATTCCGTCAACAAGGATTTCGCATGTAAAACTTAATGGGCCTTCGTATGGATTAAGCTATTTTGTTGATGGATCTAAGCAAAAAACAGCTGCTTCAACTGAACCCACAAGGCCCATTAATCCACGATCAGAAACGGCTAAAATGGACAGAAATTACAAACTGGCAAAAACATGGAGATGCGGGGTATCGATCCCCGTACCTCTCGCATGCTAAGCGAGCGCTCTACCATCTGAGCTACATCCCCGTGTTGTCTTTCCTTCGTTTTAATATTAAATAATTTTATTTAAATTTTCTTTTCTTTTTCGTTAGCGAAGCTAGAAAAATGACCCATATGTAATGTAATTGACCAGAACGGACATGCACGAGAACTGCTGGAAATGGCTATGGTACTATCACTTCAAAAAAAAAGAAAAGAAAAGGAGATTAGATAATAGTTAATACGTGGATAAACACTAATCAATGTCACCTGATTAGGCAACGAAAGCAATTTGAAGATCATAATTAATTTCCTCAGTTCATCTGACAAAGTGAGCATAAAATTGGCTCATCAAATTGCATTGTTCATATGTATTGCTGATGTTTTATTTGCAAAAGACTTAACAGCTATACATTTTGCATCAGATAAGACTTTGAAAAGTCCAGCTTGAGCCTTTGCTTTCTTTTAGCGAAGCTTTTGTCTATGATGTTTTGAAGAGTTATTGCATTCCAGAACTCTTGATCAAAATTCTTGAAATTTCAGAATTTGGCACTGAACTCGGCTTATGTTCGTTTAACAAATGCATTTTACTGCAGAATCTTAATGTATTCCATCCGCTAGCTTCAGTTTCTCTTTTCCCCTCCTACAATTACTCAAACGTGTGACGAGCTAGAGTGGCATGCTTACAGAGCTGAACTAAGTTCACCCAGGTTTAGCCAAGATTCAATAGTGCTTAGTGGCGTGAACTCTGAAGTGCTTTGCTATCAGATATGAGTCACTTTTTTGCCAGTCTTGACCATTTTCTACTGATCAAGCTATTTCTCTGTTAATGATATGTACTCCGGTCGGAGATTCTTACATATTATATTGAAGTGGTCATGCAATGGAATAGCGTTTTTTTAACTTCCAGTTAGAGGCTAGGGGTGGTAGCCTTGGTCTTAGCACCTTTTAGGTGAAACAGAAGGTAAGGTTCTTGGCTGAGGCTTTTGCTTGTTGCCAATCCTTAAATCAACCTCCCCCTTTCTCTTGATTTTAGCCTTTTAGGACTCTTATATTTTACCAACTTCAAGTCACCATGAATTGGCATGGGAAGGACAGCGATAGCTGATTTACCATTCATCTGAGTTTTAATACAGAATGTTTCTGTTGTTTCACCTTTTTCTTGTTGATATGTTCTATTTGATCTCATCCTGGATTTAGTGTTGGTTTTCATCAGAAAAGAGTGGTCTCTTAATTCATTGCTTGTTAGATTAGTTACTTGTTTCGATGAAAGCTCTCCAATTCACCATGCGCAAAGCATCCTTTCTGTCTTAACAAGGATTACTAAATAGCGTTTTTCTTGTGTTTTAGGAATCGTCATTTCTGGAACCTATCTCTGCTCTCTTACAGCAAAAGAATTGACATAAACTATATTCTAAAAGGGTATATATGTTATGTACACTAACAATGTAAGAGATCTCATTATATATGTTAGGAATTAGGAGTAACATATTCTTGAGCACTTCAATTTTTACACACCCAAAACTTACGAAGACTCAGAATTTTTGGCCGAGGTGCCATTTCCTGGATGATTATCGGAATCCAAAGTGCACTTGGGGATTCTTACTTCTAGGAGCATTTCATTGCTCACATATGCCTCAGTTTCCCTCCAATCAGCATCTTCTGGTAGCTCAAGCCTTCTAACATAACCATGTTCCCACCAGTGGCCACTTCTCCAGTCTTTCGTTTTCGACTGATCTCTTTGTGGCTTCCACTGCCCACTAATTTCCAAAATCTTCCCATTTTCGACACAGACTTGCACGGTATTATTCCCCACTCCTGCTTTAATAAATCATGTTATTTGATAAATTCAAAGGCATTGCACAAAGGGAAAATTTGCTTCAGTTTAAAGCTAATGAGTTTTGGCCTTATCTCCAGGCCTTCCGATTTTACCATTTCTAAGAGGTTATTGTTTTCAATACATCACTAATAAATCATTTTCTAATTCATTTCGAACATGGCATAGGCAATTACATGACAGGTTTTCTTGTTCAGAAAGATAAGCCTGTGACTCCTGAGGTTTTATTGTTTCCTTGGTTCGTGACCATCATCATCTCAAGCAAAGTTCAGAAATTTTAAAGATGTTTGAGAATTGCTAAGAACACTTACCTGCTAAATCTGCTTTTAGTACATAAGCATCCTCTGTCTGCAACCAATCAACAGTAGTCTTGCCAGATACCCGAAGATTAGATAACAAGACATCTGACTCAAACTCCCAAAGTGGAAAGGCATCTGAAGGATCAAAAAATTTTCCAAACAACAATGGACTGAACAGTGATCCGTCGCCAAATATCTTATGCACTATTGGATTTCCCTGAGAGAAAAATCTTTTGAACATTTCTTCACTTAATGAAACACTCCATTTGTGTGCAGTTTGATCTTCTATATGAACTTCAAGTTGTTTCCAACTTGCCATGACCGACTAGAGCTGAAGATTTTCTGAATTTTTTTTTTCCTGGAGACAGTTTTTAGGCTTTTAGGCTTCTTATAGTGTGGGAAGATCCTTTAGATAAAGCAAAGAACAAATTCCTTGAGAATATTTGGATGGCTGTAAAGCAAGAAGGAATATTTTCCTTCTAGACCTTGTTCAACATTAAGAAGGAATGGAAGAGCCATGCATCGATGCCATGTGGCCACCCACTGAAATTAGTCTACCTATAGATGATTTTTGAAAGAATGGAAGAGCTCGTTTAGCCTTTAGAAGGGAATCTTCAGTTATTTTCCAGGAATTACCGTCCACAAAATTTCAAATGGCAGGACACATCATCAGATTTTTGTCTCTAACTTGTAACAATCTTCATGTGTTTTCGCAAATGAAAACACCTGGATGCGAAATTTAGACAATATCTAGAGTACTCTAGGTAAACACCTTTTTGGGTTAAGCTGTCGTACTGCTCAGAAATTTTGTATATTTTGAGCCTAGAAGGAAAAAAAAAAAAAAAAGCAACTATATGATAGCATAGATTACCTTTTTCCTTGGTCTGCAAGGGTTCTTCTGTGACTGCTTCAGGAAAATTAGCCAAGATCAGTTTTTTGCTATTCTTATAGTTCAATAATAGGCAAGAGAAAAACAGTATATCTAGCTTTATCATACCAATTAAGCTTAATGATGTTAATTATTACATGATCTACATGCAAAAGTACAGTTTTAATTAGTAGCATTAACACAGAATCTACGTGGAAATCCTGCAATGATCATATGCAAAGTTTGCTTGCGTGACCCACCAACTTAAAGTTTGCTTTTTGATTTAATTGCTAACCTGTGAAGGAAAAATGCTGAGGACACTTCAAATGCAAAGCTGTGTGAAAGGAATAATTTCTATGTAATGTCATGTCGCAAATTGTTAATCTTTATACACCTACTTTTTCATATCTTTAATCCTTCTTTTTTTGGTGCCAGTAATTTTATTGACTACCGTTTTCTAGGCTTTATGCATTAGAGTGCATCTGATATGGCATCTATGGAGCTAACTTTTCTAAAAGCAGCATTAGTATCTGCCTGATAGATGCTTGAATTTCAAGTCATGGCAAATGCAGAGCCACTTGAAATAATGGGGCACAGACAGGTTTCAACACAAATTACAGATGCAGTTGTCTTTAAAGGTAAGGGCTAATCCTGTATTGTCATTCTTAGACAAACCGAGACGATAGGCTTGGAGGCATCTGCTGATGGATAGGATAAGATGATGATGATCAGTTGATCACCGCAGCAGAAATTGCAGCTATTTGACACATTCATTAATTTGGAATTTAATTGAAGACTGATTGAGGAATAAATTCCCCGCATTTTCAGGGTGTTTAATCCTTGGCCTCTTGGTGTTTTTTTTTTTTTTTTTCCTCCTCATAAAATTGACAGGAAATTCAAAGTATATAGCTCAAATTTATGGAAATTCAGAGTTTGTCCAACAGCTGCCAATTAGGGAGCCGAAGTTTGGACTTTAAAGACATGAGAAGGGAAAATATGATTTGAGTCGAGACATTTTGTCCTTCTAGTTTTATCTAGAATATTAGACCTTGGTTTTCAAACGGGAAGAAAATTCAGTGATTTCATGTCAAGCAACAACAGTTTGAGGACTAAACTGCTAAAGTCAGTGATAGACCAAAGAAATTTGCAATAGAGCCATTGATATAATATGTAAAACAGAGAGCAAGAACGTGATGACATAAGAAAAGAAGCTACATATATATATATATACACACCCTTCATTCTACCATTGCTATATTTTTTACATCATTACTTACCAATTATCGTAAAAAAAAATTCACATACTAGAAAATATTTTAAATATTTTTTATTTATAAAATATTTTATTCAAAACAAACTCATCCTAATTAATGTTTGGCATTAAATTTTAATAAATTATTTTTAAAAATAAATTAAATATTTATTGAATTAAAAACTCCAATAATAAAATCTTAAAACCATACTTTCTTAAACAACAACTAATCATTAATTAAACATCATAATATAGGTTTCTAGTGGTGTAGTGAGGATTACACTTACTTCACTTAAAGTTTGATCAATCCTCCTCCTTTTCTCTATGGATTTCTTCCTCCTCCTTTCACCTCTAAGTTTCGGCCCAAATTGAGTTTTTCCCTCCTCCTTTACTTGATCTTCAAAACTGATTCTAAGGTGATTTTAGTGTGCTTCAAGGATATCTACGGTGTTTTAGAGTGTTGATCCGTCCGAAGCAATTAAAAGTTTAGGGATTAAAGTGTAAAATTCAAGTGATTTGGGGGACTAATTAATTAAGTTTCGAAGGAAGAAAAGAGAAAAATCTAAAAAAGCCATTAATTTTCATGGTTTAAGATCAAAACAAATGTGATACACTTAGCTTAATCTTAAGGAAAAACCTTGGCTATAAATATGGAAGAAGAAGATGGAAGAGAGGTTATGAACTTTTGATGTTCAAGGTTACACCAAAGATAAAGTAGGTAAACCCAATTAGAAAGTCACCAAACCAAAACTCTAAACCCCTTTAAAATACCCTAAAATCACTATAGAATCAGTTTAGAAGATCGGGGTGCACTCGAGGAGGAAAATGAATTTCGAAAGGAATGAAAATGGTTTTCGGATGCATCATGTGCATTATCGTATACATAAGGAACACTACATGCATTACATAGATTACACTTATTGAGCAACGATCACCTAGTTATAATGGTTTAGGTGATAAAAGGTTAGAAGATGATCGTCGTTGAGAAAGATGATTGATTTGTCGTATCTTGTGCTTAATTATGTAAAATAAGTGAGAGAACTTTTACCTTTGCTTAACTTATTTTTAGATGTGGAAATGGATATTTGGTTATAGTTTGTAAAAGAAGAAGTATGTATTTGAGAATTAAATGGTTTGTTTATCTCCTTAGTTGTTTAGTTTGGTAGCCTAAAGAATTATTTTTGAACGGCCAATTCTCTAATAAAAGGTCTTATGAATTTATTAAGTGTTCAATTGAATTAATTAATGGAAATTTTGACCTAAGGATTTTTTTTAAAAAAATAGTATTAAATCAAGATTTAATGGTTTAATATAAAATGATTATTTTCTAATTCAATTTATTATATTGTATTTAAATTAGTTTTGAAATAAAAATAATATGGATTTATCCTACTTTATTTTATAGATTATTTAGAAATTGAATATTTCTATTTTAAATAAAATATAAATTTCTAGAAGAAATTTGAGAAAAATAAAACACATAGTGCTATTCATTATAATATAAGGTTAAATTATGATATTTAAATGGTTAAATTAGAATCCAAGAATATGAGTTTTTGATCAAATTATGATATTTAATATTTCTACACATAAGGTATGAATACTTATTGGTGCTAGTGGAATTTTTAATAAAATTATACCTTAGTTTTAATTAATTTGGACCTATTATTTCTTATTTATTATGGAGCTCATACGAAAACCACCTTTTTCACTAGTAATTTTGTAAGGTAAGATGAGGAAGCTTGTTGGCTTGCATTCATTGCACTTAAAATGTAATTCAATGCCGGTAATACTCTTGACCTATCTAGGTCCTAGGTCGGAGGGTGTTATATAGATAGCTTTATCAATTAACATTAAATTAATTAAATTTATGAGGTGTAGTGTAATAATTATACATGAATTGTTAGGTTTATATAATTAATTCAAGTTTAATTGAATGAATTGAATTAATTAGGGTTAGGGTTCTAGAACATATGAATTGGGAAAATGATTTAAGAGTTGAAATTAATAGTGAATTAGATTAATTAAGCATATAAATAAGTAGTAAAAATGAAAAACTACCTATGTTTTATTTAGTTTGGACTTATTATTTCTTATTTATGAAGGGCCTCATATGAAAACCATTACTTTCACTAGTAATTTTATAAGATAAGGAGAGAAGGCTTGTTGGCTTGCATTCATTGCACTTAGAATATAAATCAATATTGGTAATACTCTTGACTTATCTAAGTTCTAGGTCGGGGATGTTACGGTGATATCAAAGCGATTTAACCCTAGTGGTTTAAGTTAGAATGACCGATTAAGAACACTCAAGTCGGGCTTCGATAACAAGTAAGGATAAAAAGGTATGTATTGCTTTATAAATATATGTTTGTATGATGTGTTTATGTGATGATATGTGAGTGTTATATTGATTGAAAATTTTTGAATGTGAATGTAATTATGTCGGATTCTTAGTGATCATAATGGAAATTCGAGGATGGAATTTTTATAAAGAGGGGAGGATGTAATATTTTCAACCTAAAAATCTACTGGAAAGTGATCATGTTGTAAGAATAATTTATTCAATTAATAAATGAATATTTATTTAAAGTAAGAATTGATAAATTATGTTTGAACAAGAATAAAATTAATGCAATTATCGTTATTATGAAATGTAAATGAATTAATTTGAAGGAAAAGGAATTAATTAAAGTATGAATTAGGGGTTTATAATATTAATTGATATGGTTATATGTTAACCTAGGGGTGAAATTGCAAAGCTGTAGGGTGTAATCATAACAAATAAAATTTTTAGTACTTCATTAAAATAATTAACAAAATTTGAGGAACACATTCACTCTCGAAAAGGCCTAGGATAAGGGCTAGATTATGGGAAATTGAAAGGTTATAGACTAAAATTAGAGGGGCCAATTACAAGAATTAAAATTTTAGGGACTAAAGTGCAAAATGCTAGTGATTTAGGCGACTAATTACATGATTTTGAGAGAATAGTCAAAGAAACTACTAAGTTGGAAAAAGAGGGAGAAAAATATCTCCCAAAGTCGGTAAACAAGGAGGAGAAAAATCAACCTAAAAATCTAAGGAAAAAAGAGGAAGAATGGATAAAAATGAAGAAAAATCTAAAGAAGCTATTAATTACCAATGTTTAAGATCAAACCAAGTATGATACACTTGGCTTAATCTTCAGGAAAAACCA